GGAGGAAAAACTTACTTTCTGATTCATATTCTAACTGGCACAACATTACTCTCAATTCACTTGACCCCATATTTTGTGCACTCTCGACTTAATTCGATACTCTTCCGCCTAGTTTCTTAGGCCCCCGGGTTCCTTAACCCAACAAAATGATTAAGAAAGAAATTATCATAAAACTAAGATTTCACTTTCATAATAAAAATTTTCAGAAATTTTTTATGAAATTATTAATTTTTTATTTCTAATGTCACAAATAAAGTGGTATATTAGAAGTCAAAAAACACAAAACAACGTCACATGTCGGCTTTCTAGATGTCAGAGTTTGTTTTTTATATATTGTGAGGTATAATAAAGGAAATGATCTTTTCAATTAAATACTTAATTATTTAAAAAAATATTTCTACCATATCTTGTGTTATAAAATTTCAATGTAGGAATTAAAATATACCTTTTACTTTTATTTTACATTAATATTTAAATAAATAGAATAAAAACATTCTTTTTTATGGCAAATTATAAAAAATTATAAATTTATTTATAGATAATTTTATTATCTTATTTATTCATATCAAAGTAGTATTATAAATAAAGTAAAAAATATAAAATTAGAAAAGAATATTGTAATAAAAATGAAGATCTTTATTTCATAATTAAATTCATTCAATGATAGTGAAATCATAAAAAAGTATTCAATAATACATTTAAAAATATAATATAATATTTAATAATTCAAATAATGTATTTAAAAAATTAAATAAAAAATAATCTAATAACTATAAAACAAAAATAATAAAATTTAACTATACAATCAATATACTCGAACATCCCAATTCTATCTAGTATGTTTTCTCTATTTTATAATTTTTATAATTAAGTCATTTCTGGTTTTATTTGACTTTATTGTGAATTTTAAAATATTTTATATATTCACCAATATTTAAATAAGTAGAATAAAAATTAATTAACTTCATTTAAATGTATCGCAAAAAGTATAAAATTTATCTAAAGGTGAAGATATAAGTGCATGCTTTTGATATACACTTTAGGGTACATTTTTTGATATACTCTTTTTTTTGAATGATATTAAAAGCATTATAAGGTAGTATCTGTTCATACTATTCTATACCTAATGACGCATAATATTTCGCTTCCACTGGAGTTCGAACCTCAATAAACTTTCCCATAAATTCTGAGGAGTGAGCTTGCTACCACTCAAGTTAGAAAAGAAGTTGGTTGACATACTTCTTACATTATTGCCTAAACAACCTCAATTTCTATAAAGGACCGTGCTACAGTGCACCCACCATTGCCTCCTATGCTGCCTCCCTATTTAATCTATTTTTTTACCTTTTCTCTTTCTTTTTTTTCTTTTGTTCTTTCCTCTACGTCGCTACCTGGCGGCTCTGCTCTTCCGCGCAAGCCAGCCGCACCACTCTTCTCTCCATTTTCTGTGCTCTCCTTCCTACAAGGCAGGTAATATCTTCTTTTTCTTATCTTCCTCTTCATATCTCTGATGCGCCAACCCATGTAGCACGACCATCCCTCTGTCAATCTCTTCTCTTCATTCCATTTTTAGTCAATTTCTATAGCAATAATTTTTTGAATTTTTGTGGAGTACATAGAGTATTTGGTGATTATGGACTTACAAACATGTATTGTTACACATGTTGAGAATGATCAACCACATGATTTTGGTGGTGAAGAAGAAGACTTGGTTTTATATGATTTGCAGCCCAGTTGTAAGTGTTGATATTTAGACCCCATTCTATATTCATTTGAATTAGTGAAAAAATACTGTTTTGTTTTGATGTTACATAGATTAAAGTTCTGTGAACCTAGGGTTTGTCTTTGTCACAGATGCTAATAATCTGTATGCACTCTGCATTTGGTGTATTTCTGTTTTCTTCATAGTCAGGCATTGTACTATATTAAAGGTGCTGTTTTTTTGCAGAGAAAAACCCGAAACCGAAAGAAGGTAGAAAAAATGATAACCTACCTAATAAGAGGAAGAAAATGGATGCGTCTGAGATCTTTGCATCACAACGGCAGCATGCCTGGCCCGTGCAAGACGAAGATGGTGTTTACGACCTCACCTTGGGAGGTCTGGAGCTTGGCATTTCACTACAATGACTTTTAGTTGTCCTTTTTTGGCATCAGATCTAGAACTTTGCTCTCATTTTTGGATTGAGCATGGGAACTGTATTTCACATAGCTTTTTGCTTTTTGTATAAAGTATGTAACAAATATGATAACTTTCTCTGAGTTCCATGCACATAAACTGATGTAAACCTGATGTAACTCTGTTTTCACATACATTAAGTCTTTGTGAAATGTGTGAAATAGACAATTATTCCATGTGAGCCCGCTGAAATCTAATGTATGCGTTTTAATATTCTTTTTATCTTTACAAGACCCCCACATATGTGATAAGATTCTGAAGATGGTGTATGTACATAAAGTTATGTAACTCTGTCGTCACATACATTAAATCTCTGTTAAATGGATAAAATAGACAGTTATTATCTGTGAGGGCTCTGAAAGTAAAAGAACGTAAATCAGTCATAAACTAATGTAAATGAGTCATCACATACATTAACACATTGTGCATTAACAAGTACAAATTCATGATTATACAAGCCTCATTACAAAGCCTTCAAAAAAAAATCTAAAGTGTTTCCCCAAAAAATACATTACAAAGCACATAAAGTTATATAATGTTATACATTACACTTCATAATTTTATATGAAGTTCAATAAACAGAAGTTAATCGTCTATGAGATACAATTCACAGAAAGCAAGCAAAAATAACAAGCAGACCTCTTTCACAGACAATAATGTTATATGAAGTTTAAATAACAGAACTTAACCATTTATGCCATACAATTCGCACAGTAAGCAGAAATAACAAGCAAACCTATTTCACAGACAATAATCTTATATGAAGTTCAAATAATAGAAGTTAATCATCTATATCATTCAAAATAAAACTTCTTTTATGTTTGAATGGCTTTTATAACAATTTTAGAAACATTAAATCATTCAAAGAAACTGGGAAAACATGTAATTCATGTCATAAACTATATGAGTATTTAATGTAAAACAGTCCTTTGCACAACTGCAAAAAACAGCCGTAAGACTTGAATTAAAAGTATTAACTGAACAAATTTTTATTTGGAAAGAAATGAATAGCGGGTGGACAAAACACTCCCTCCAAACACTGCTTTCGGGACAAAGTCCAATAACAAGTGGGGTACATGCTAAGGACCATGCTACATTTACACCAAAAAATGTACATGTAGCTTAATCCAAAATCTAAAGTGTTTTTCCCCAAAAAAATACATTACAAAGCACATAAATAATTACAAAGAGTTTCACAAAAATAAAAGACCCCTAAATTCAACTTCATAAATAAAATACATCATCTTCTTCTGACTCCTCATCATCTTCCTCAGCACCTCCCCTCCTTTCTCTCTTCTGTCTCTGAATTCTAACAGAGAATTAGAATCCTGTGTACAAACAAGAGCAGAAACCATATATATTCCTAGACAGTGACTGTAGGTATTATGTAAATTCACAGAGGTTAAAAGTCAGTGAATATATTTCACGAAACATATTTCACAGAAATCAAGTTTTTTTTTAAAAAAAAGTAAATACTTGAGTATATCATAAACTGGATCTTTGAACTGCCCATGATTATTACTTTTTAAACCATGGTTAGGGCATATGGTCTTTGATACTTCGGAACTGTCCGAAAATCATTAATTACTACGGAGTATTTACTAAACATGCTAAAATTCCAATGTAGAATAAGATCCAAGATCTGAACCCCCCTAGGGTTTATATCAATTTTAGAAACAGAGAGATCAAGAAAGAGACCGAGGAAAGGGAAGTTAGCGTCAGTACCTGTTCGGAGGGGTGGGGCTGCCGGCGCTGGAGCTGGAGGGGTGGGGCTGCCGGCGCTGGAGCTGGAGGGGTGGGCCTGCCGGTGCTGGAGCTGGAGGGATGGGCTGCCGGCGCTGCTATGCTCTCGACGGAGAAGAAGGACGTGGAATTGGAGTTGTCCGAATTCTGTCGCTTGTGGAGGTTGAAGTGGGAGAAGGGAGATTTGGGAATTTTGGGGAAGAAGGTGGGAGAGGAAAAGACTATGAAAAAAGGAAAATTGAAAAAAATTAAATATATTAGGTGGCATGCTTGGAGGCACACATGGTGCCTCTTTAGCATTCCCCTTCTATAAAACATGGACCATGCTAGGGTTCCACCACATGGGTGCACTCATGCTTCGCACAGACGATAATTGTCTGTGCGACACAGACAATTATCGTTTGTATTTGTCTGTGCAAAGCATGTGTGCACCCATGGTAGCACCCATATGTGGCACCTAGCATTTTCCATAAAACATTTCATTCTACACACCAATGAAAATAAGATGAAAAGAAGACCCTCATCCCTCCCTATACCCCAACCAATCTAAACAGCGGATGGGATAAGATGATGATCCTACGTGGCAAGATTCCCTCCATATTTTCTTGACCTTCTCCTTAAACGCCTCATTCCTTTCTCAGACAACGTACGAGAAGAGCCCAACCTCACCATGGCTTCTCCAGCCCAAATCACTCCGACCGCCACCGCCGCCGCTAAACCACTGATAACCCCAATCAGATCCCAAATCATCTCCGCCGCCACGCGCAGCGCCGTCAACTGCACCAGCCGCCGGGAGTTCATCTCTCTTTCCTCCGGAATACTCTGCAGCCACGGCATCCTCTCCGCCGCCGTCGCCCGGGCAGCCTCCGACGAGGAATACGTGAAGGAGACGACGGAGGTGATCGGAAAGGTGAAGTCGACGGTGGAGAAGGAGAAGGGGGACCCGGATATAGTGGATGCGGTGGCCGATCTAAGGGAGGCTTCGAATTCGTGGGTGGCCAAGTACCGGAGGGAGAAGGGGCTGCTCGGACGGCCATCTTTCCGGGATGTTTACTCGGCGCTCAACGCCATCTCCGGGCATTACGTGAGCTTTGGGCCGACGACCCCGATTCCGGCCAAGAGGAAGCAGAGGATCTTGGAGGAGGTGCAGAGTGCAGAGCAGGCATTGCAAAGAGGAAGATAAGGATTATACATTAGATATTACTACTATTCTGTCAATTCTCAACTTTTAATTTTAATTTATTTTTCTTGTTTCGGTTTGGAATTCAATTTTACTGCTCTATGATCGATTGATCGTATTATGTTTTTCTTTCATTGGCTACAAGTTAATGCATCGGATAATTTAACTATATAGACCATGTTTAGCTTCATATGCACTTCAAACCATGCAAACAAAGTCATATATGAGGCAGGTGAGGTCTTTAATTGAGAGGTGTTGAGAGGTGTAGGTGGAAAATTACTTTTTTAATGCTGTATTTAATATGTAGACAACAACATAAGTGAGGAAGGACCGATTCCAGAATGGAACCAAAGAAAAGGGGACTTTGCTTGTAATATTTGATAAGTAGGAACTAAATATGGAAAACAAGTATTAGTAGGGACTATTTATGTAATTTACTCTTAATTTTTCTAGGTGAGCATTTTATAAGTTCCTTTGAGAGTTTGTTTACAGTTCTTTACCTTATCACTTTTTTTGAATCGTCAGAATAACAAATGTAGTTGTAATATTTTCAACACTCTTCATTTAAATAACAACTACATTATTAGAATTTATAAAAACTTATAAATCTATTTTACATTACTTATTATTCATATATTAAAATATTAGATTTATATATTAGAATATTAGATTTAAAAAATTAATCGTGAACCAGCCCGAAACCAGAGCCGGAACCGCTGGTTCTGGAACCGGCTCGATGACCGCCTCCTCCAAGGCCGGTTACGGTGTCTATAGTCGTCGGTGCTGAAATTGCCAGTTCTAGAACCAGAACCATGCCGGAACCGCATCGTATCCAGGCAAATCATTGTTATACTGTCATATTCACTACATTGTCATATTGTAACTGCCACTTTATTATCGCTACAATGTCATCTGTCACCGCCGACCACTAAAGTGCCACCGCAGATCAGATCACCAACAGTTGACTGATCACAATGACATATCACACTGTCGTCATTTTTCTTTCACACTGTCAACGCGTACGATTACATCACACTATCATTATGCTCTTATTTTGATCTTAAAAGATTTAAGACTCATATTTTGTTATTTTCATACTTTTTACTTTTGTCTAGAAAGATTTTCTTTTAAAATAAGTAGGTAAACCTACTTATTTTTTCCGACTTATAAGCACTTTATAAACCAGCTTATAAGTACAGAGAAATATGTCATCACATGACTTATAAGTTAAAATAAATAAAAAGACAATTTTGACTAGTTTATAAATACTTAGTTTTCCAAGAATAAGTGCACAACCATAAGTGCCACATTCACTTAGCCTAGTCTTTATTGTTAAAATTCAAATGTTAGTCAAATGAGCATATACTATTTTCAAAATGTTAAATCTATATGTTTGAACTTATTATCATGCCATCACTTTGCTGAAAACAAAGAAAAACTAAGAATCATTCAAAATTCTTTTCAAAAGGAAATGTTTTTAGAACAAAAAGAAAGATATTTAATTACACTATGTTTGGTTCAAGTAATTCCGTAGAGAAAGAAAAAATAGGTTTTATTCATTTTTCTCACTAAAATGGGATGAATTTGGTTTTCCTTTCCCTTAGTACATTTTGCGTTTTCATTCTTCTTTCTTTTCATTTTTTCTTTTCTTTTCCTCTATAATCAAACAAGAAAAATATTTTCTTTTTCATGTTTTTCTTTCTGTATCAAGTTTCTCAAACCAAACATAGTTTTAAGGCCATTTTATAGCAGGGATTTTACTCCTGTACACAAAGGGGACAATCAAAATGAGAACAAGTTAAAGATAATTTACTATATAAAGCACTATCGAAACGAGTAGAACGCAGCCCGTCTAGCTCAGTTGGTAAAGCGCAAGGCTCTTACGGTGGGCGTGTTATATTTTGTTTAAATTTTGTTATATTTTGTTTAAATTTTTAAAGTTCACCCAACACTAAAAAATTGGGAATTCTATATGGGAGATGTGAAGATTCATTTTGATTTGGCTCACTAAACAAGTTCTGACTCTTAAATGAGAAGTGATAAGGGTGTTGAATCCCGGTATTTTATACGTAATTTCCACGCTCCAAGCTTCTATTTCTAGATAATTAAGTTTGTTCTTTTGAATTTCTTCTTGCTTAGTCATTCCTAGTAGAATTTAATCAGATCATAAATAGTTTTTTTATATAATTACAATCAAATCGGATGTGGCGAAGAGAACCCGTTCTAGTTCAGAAACACTAACAAAGAGACTATCTTGTACTAGTTCCTGCGTCACTCGACATTTTTACCTATATAATTTTTTGATTTGTTTGTTAATTGATTATGGTCGTTCAATTATTAATTTTGATCCCCACAACGCTGAATCCAAATCTCGGGGTTGGGGAGGGGGGTGTTCCCCGTCAGAACCAACGTCCACATTTTAGCATATTACTTTTTAGCACTAATATATTAAGTATTTACGCACTTTTTATAGGCTTTTCCCATAAATAATTAATATAAACTGTGAATTAAGCATTTACGTACTTTTTATAGGCTTTTCCCATTATTTTTTCAATTTATAACTTTTTCCCCTTTTAGCATATTAAACTTTTATAGCATTTAATTATTTAAAATTATATTTATTTTTTTAAAAATATTACACAATTTTACAAAAAATTCAAATTGCGATAACCTTTTTGAGTTTGACCGCGAATTATGAAAAAATATACGGAATATTTATTTATAATATAAATTTAGTAAAACTGAGTTTATTTTATGATATAATTTTGAAATATCAATTTATTATACCCGGAGTAATATTTAATCATGTACTCCGTATAAAATATATTTAATTTATTATCAAATTGACTTCAAAAAAAAATTTATTATCAAATTATACTGCAATTTGGTTAAAAAAATCATACTCCGTACTATTTTAATCTTTGGGACTAAAAACTGAAAACGTCGTTAGCATAGAGATCTAAGACCTAAGATCAGAAAATACTCCGAGCAAAGCTTCCTTATTCAGCATAGTCGAACCTGGATCTGCGCTCCGTCGCGGCTACGCCTTGCCGCCGCTAACTCTGCCAGAGTCTGCGCACCATCGCGGCTACGGCTTGCCACCACTAACTTCGCCGTCAACCTAACTGCCAATCCAACTTCTACAGGTATCTATACTTTGATATAGTTGAAATTTTAAATGCTTAATGTTTTAAATCTTCAATAGATTGATTTATTGTTGTTTCCAACTAATAATGGATGAAAATGGCATATTTTTAATTGGTCTTTCATCTTTGGATTCTTATTTTTGAATGCTTTTTATGTGTTCAATTAAGAGAAAGTTTTTCTCAATTTTTAAAAAATAGAAAAAGAAAATGAATTTTGTACGACTAATAGAGTAATTTTGTATAGTCTCATACTCACATTGCAAACAATATCGTTATTCAAGAAAATTGAACGCAATCACATTGCCTATCTCTTAGAGCAGTGGCAATGGGCATAACGCCCACCCACGTTATGCTCCGTTTGACGCCTCGGGGCGTTAAACACAGCCTCCCTCCCCCGTTATCGGCGCGTTAAAACTCTCGCGTCAAAGTTTTGACGCAATTTGGAGCCGTTATCACGCCTTTTTTCTTCTTTTTTCTCCCTCTTTTTTCCTCTTTTCTTCTCTATAAATTAAATTACTTTTTTTAAAATTCAACACAAATACAAATTTCTCTCTATCTATATCTTTTTTTAAAAAATTATTATTCAAGTTTTTTTTTATTTTTCATGAATGTAATTTTTTATTTAATGAATGTATTTTTTTATTTAATGAATGTAACTTTTTATAATGAATGCAATTTTTTAATGAAATATTCTCGTTTCAATTCTTTTAGGTAATTAAATATTTAAATTTAATTAATTTAATTTTAGAAGATATGTATTTAAAATGTAAAAAATGAAAGTTTGAAGCCCCCGTTTAAAGCCCCGGGGCTTCAAACCCATTTTCACTGAAACTGTGAGCTAAGTTAAAGCTGACGTGGCAGAGAGAAGGTTTGAAGCCCCGGGGCTTCATGGGTATTTCGAGTGCCCTTAGCAGCTCGACTCTTTGTCTACCTGCAATACTTCAAACACATAATAAGATGAAATAGGTTGAATGATGCGACCAAAGAATACCCATAGGAATTTGGTGGGATAGAATAGGCAAAAGAACTAATGGTAGAAAATGGCAGAGGGATGTTCAATTGATAAACCCAAACATTTTAATTTAAAAAAAGGAAAAGAAAAAAGGGATAAAAAACCATTTTTAAAAAAGATTTAGTTTCCATTTCTAAATAAAGTGAGTTTATTATTGCAAATCTAACAACTTAAAGGAAAAAAACAGAGTAAAAAAGATTCTAAAAAAGAAATAAATTCAAAAATTGATTTCAAATATGGATTAAAAAGCCAATCAAATTGCATATTCCAATTTAAAAATAAAACTACCAAAGAAGTGTAATTTTTGAACAATTACAATAATAAAGACTCTAATAATATCATTATTCTAGTGTTTTTTAATTGTTGACAAAAAGAATGGCAACACAGTAGCCTAACCTCACCATCACCAATGTGCAAAGGCTGCTCCTTGGCATACTAACCCGTGGGAAGAAAATTAATTAAATATTTACAAAATCTGCACTGATTAATCTAGTGATCTCTTGCATCGGCACAATATCATCTGGAAAAAGTGGGAGCTTGAAAGCTGGGATAAGATTCAAAGCCAAAGAATGATTGAACATGTATCACACATTTCAATTATTCAAAACCATGGACATTACTCAATCATTTCTATGCTCTTTAAAAGAATGAAGAGAAGTATATCTGCATATAGGTTAAATTAACATGTCATATAGGTTCCAAAACTATTTGCTTATTTGTGGTGATGGAATTCAATAATGAATTCCTCTTCTAGCCTGAATCTTTATAGATGCAAAACCTGTGAAGGTCCCCATAGCCATTTTTTCTTTAGTGTGTGATTTCTTGCAGACATGCTAAGTCCATTTTATTATACACTGTCAAATTGGAAACAATAAAAGGTCTGAGAACATGGTCCAGACTCCGTACTGACCATAGATGCTTCGTCCATACCCGTTCAAGCCGCCACCTAATTCATATATAGGCAAACTCATGATATGGTTGAATATATCTAAATACAGATCTGAACATCTTTAAAAAAGTGTGTTGATGAAAAATATTAGAAAATTAAATACCTATAAAAAAATATATTGACATCCACTGCGCACACCACATATCTTCGATCATAATAATTGCTTCCAATCCCATAAAAATGTGTTGTACTATCCTTCAACTAAAAAGGGGGGAAATCTAGTTGAAAAATGTAGTGCAAAATTTTGAGATTAAAGATAGAAAAAATAAAAATACTGTCCACCTTTTAAACCAGAATTGGCCATCTTTCAATCTAATTAGTAAATAAAATTATAACCCTGTAATTCCATATAAATAGAACAGAAAAAAGAAGACTCATATATCTAGGGCTAACCTTGCTACCACCTTGAAAGAAGAAGAAGACTCATAGCCTCGATCATCACTCTACGTTGAAAGAAGAAGAAGAAAAGGCCTACAGGTGGTATTGCTCATACAGCAGTCTAGCTACATTGCCACCGTCCATCGTCGACCCAGAATTTTACCCCACCTGCGGTGTTTGAACCTGCTGCGTGGCGAAAAACCCTGTGAATACGCGATGCAATTGAGGTCCGGGATCAGGCTATCTACGCTGGCGGCGGTGAAGGTGGCTTAAGTGACCAGAATTTAAGATGAAATTAGCGTTGTGGCGGCTTCAATGACCAGAAGTTAAATAAAATTCGTGTGGAGAAACCGAGGAAGTTGACGGATAGATCTACACTTTATGCGTTATGTTTATGCTACTCTATACTTAGTGGTATAATGTGCGGTTACATGCTTCGATTAGTGCCTTAAATTATCCGACCCAATTAGGCCAAAACCGCTCAGAATTTAGGCGGGATGTAAATTCTTGTTGTTGTTGTAGATAGGGGGATAGTCAAATCGATATAGCAAGGGCTGAATTCTCTAGTATCCCTGATTTCTTGATTCACCCATGCATGATAATAGTCTGCATTCTATATTACATGGTATCAGCATAGAAAAATTTCTCCTTTCAATACAATAAAAGAATATAGCAATGCTTGATTTTCTACATTCTTTAAAAGTAATGCTAGATTTACAAACAAAACACTCACAAAATGCACAAACTTTGTGTATTTAACTTTTTATTTTTTACGGCAATTATTGAGACCATTACTTAAAACCATTACTTTATATATTGGGTAAGTTTGTGCATTTTGTGAATATTTTGTTTGTGACTCTAGCATTACTGATTACTCATTCTTTAATATTAAAAATTCATTTCTTGTTAATATGGATAAGGACATGTCAAACACATAGAATGCATAAGTGTGATTCAAATCTTTAACCCAATTTTTAAGCAGTTATTATCTCAAATTCCATACATTGTTCTGATAGTTTAATAATTGAGAAGGTTAAAGGAATTACATGAAAAACCCAAAAAAATAGAACCATACAGTACCTTTATTAGATTGTGGATTCGGACATTTGGCTCCAATATTATTTCAAGATTTAAACACAGCATGTTGCCAGGCCAGCGCAGTTGCCAGGCCAAATAAGCTAAACACAGCATGTTGCCCGTTTATGTAAATGTTTACTTTTATATAGGAATATTTTTGGTAAGTAATTCATTAAAATAGAAAAATATTCAAGCAACATAAAAAGGAGATATAATACTTAATCGATTAAATAGTTGAGTTTATTGTCGTGCTTCACATTAGAAAAGTGGTCATGCTGAGAAGAATACAATGAAAATATATTTGACTGAAGAACACAATAAAGAGTGCGAACATGATAAAGATGCATTATGGACTCATGTGGCATTGAAAATGTTTGAATGTGAAATTTGACATTTTAGGTGCTAATTATTGAAAACGGCAAATGAAAATAAATTTTTAAAAGAAAATAATATATACTATTATACTCTCTGTACACCATAAATCTTCTCAAGTTGACTTTTTATAATTGTTAAGAAGAGTTGAAAATAAGTGGAAATTTTCTAAAATACATTTTTACAACATCCATAAAAAGCCTTTAGGTCTATTTTTTTTCCATCTCGGCCCAAACCATTGAATTCTTAGGACCGGCCCTGGTGGGGAATCCAATGTTCCAACCGACAAATCTCTCTTATATCTTTGATGTTGTTTTCAAAAATAGCAACTTTAGCAATTTTGAGAATGTCTGTCTTTAGTAGCATGTACAAATTGATGATCCATATCAATTAGTTTTACATTTCTGGTTATGGAGCTTTTTATCATGGGTTCCAGATTGCTTCTTGTACTGGGATACTAGAATGTCTCTCTGTACACCATAAATCTTCTCAAGTTGACTTTTTATAATTGTTAAGAAGAGTTGAAAATAAGTGGAAATTTTCTAAAATACATTTTTACAACATCCATAAAAAGCCTTTAGGACTATTTTTTTTCGATCTCGGCCCAGGCCATTGAATTTTTAGGACCGGCCCTGAAGAGACGTGTTTGAGGATCTTGTTTTCGAACAGATTAAAGAAACTCCAAAGTCTACAGTTGAAAATTCTAGCCATCCTTTGGAGTATAGAAGTGAAATTGATGAAAACATAGATGAAAAAATGGTTGTAGAATCTCTCTGTAGAGAGGATTTGCTTATCCATGGAGATGCTGTTGATCAATTCTTAAACATAAAATATAAATTAGGGATTTAATCATGTGTACCTGATAATCCTGTAAACGTGGTTAGGGATGAGGCCATGATTCTCACGCAGATCGAGTTCCCGTTTAGGGTGTATCGTTATGATGGCTAAGGTGAGGAAGACTCACGAGAATAGAGAGGCAGAGAGGAAGCGTAAGATTGGTGTGTTGATCTCTGCCTAATGACCTCTATATATATACACCCAAGGGGAAACCCTAATTAGGTCATAAGGGTAATTACGTCCATCGAATAATTACCAATTAAGTACGTAGGGTATTTATTAGGTCAATGATCAATTAATTAGATAAATGATAACTCAGGCCACATAATAAAATCGTGTCNTTTACATCCTACGGGTTTTACACCGTTGGGTAATTCAACCAAATCCCAAACATCATTTTTCTTCATGGAGTCAAGCTCTTCAATCATGGCTTTATTCCATTCAGAAGACTGATCACTGTTAATGGCTTCATTATAAGAGGTAGGATCAGTAAACTTTCCAGCATCCATTTCTGCTTCAGTCAGGTAGGTAACATAATCATCAAAGTTAGTAGGCCTTTTAGACCTAGATGACCTCCTGAGCAAATTTTCGGATCGAGCATTGGCGGCATTGTCTTGATGGTGATCATTTGAGGTGTCTTCATTTCCAGGTACATTTGGAGTAGGAGGAGGTGCAGTGTCCTGCGGATTGACATTGAGTACAAGAGGAGTAATTGGAGGTAAATTAATCGACAAGTCTCTTCCCCCCGCGTCTTGTACTTCTAGCAATTCATCATAAGGGTTTTCACTGCTCCCACTGACCTTAAAATCTTAAAGGAAATGAGCATCTTTGGTTTCTACAATGCGAGTGACATGGGAAGGACAATAAAATCTGTAACCCTTTGAGTGAGAAGGATAACCAATGAAGTAGCAAGTTACAGTTTTCATGTCGAGTTTCTTCAGGAAGGGATTATAAAGTTTAGCTTCGGCAAGACAACCCCATACTTTCATATATCTTAGACTCGGTTTCCTTCCTGTCCAGAGTTCATAAGGAGTTTTAGAGACAACTTTAGAAGGAACCCTATTGAGTATATGAACGGCTGTTTTTAAGGCCTCGGTCCAGAGAAATAGAGGTAAACCTGAGTTGGCTAACATACTGCGTACCATGTCCATTAGGGTCTTATTTCTTCTCTCAGCAACACCATTCTGCTAAGGAGTACCAGGCATAGTATATTGGTTCACGATCCCCTCGCCCTTACAAAACTCATAAAATGGACCAGGAGCTTGACCCACATCAGTATGTCTACCATAATATTCTCCTCCTCTATCTGATCTTACAACTTTTATCTGACGATCAAGTTGTTTTTCAACTTCAGTTTTATAATCTTTAAAAGTTGTAAGTGATTCAGATTTTTCCTTAATGAGATACAAGTACATATAACGAGAATAATCATCAATATAAGTGATAAATGAGTTATGTCCAGTTATGCCAGTGATAGAGTAAGGACCACTAATATCAGTGTGGATGAGCTCTAATAAATTAGAACTCCTAGTGGCACCTTTCTTATTCACTGATGTCATTTTACCTTTAAGGCATTTGACACATGTTCCAAAATCATTGAAATCGAGAGATGGTAACACTTCATTCTTCACGA